TATGCCATTGTTTCCCACCTGCAAAACCACTCCTTACAGGTGGTGTGTCCCCATTTAACAGGTGAGAACACTGCATCAGAAAGGCAAAATCTCAGCCGAGTGCAGTAGTGCACGCCTGGTAATCCCGGAAGTTGGGGAGGCTGAGGCAGGAGGATTGTGAGTTCAAAGCTAACCTCAGCAACTTAAGGAGGCACTAAGCAACTCAGCAATCCTGTTTCTAAATATAATATTAAAAAGGGCTGGGGATTTGGTTCAGTGGTTGAGTGCCCCTGGGTTCAATCCCCGCAAAAAAAAAAAAAAAAAAATCTCAGAGAATAAAGTTACAGCCGGTGTTTTCTTGAGGCCTGGGATCTCCCACCAGTGCCTAGACATTGCCATCACTGCCACCCAGACTCCTGCTTCTGCCTATCCTGGCTGCAGTCTCCTCAGCCCAGGGCCAAGGTGAGGCTGATCAAATGCAGATCAAATCGGGCTCAGAACTGGTACCCACCTCACTCTGAATAACGAAAGCCCCTGCACTGGTCTGGGAACAGGTCTGGTCTCCATCCCAACCTCCCATCTCCTGCCTCCCTTCCTCCACATATCCTCGCTCCCTGCACAGCCAGGCTCCTAAGCTCTGCACCCTCCCTCCTTCTAGAAGTTCTTCCTCACCCCCCTGTGAGCTTTTGAAAGGAACCCTCTCCCTCCCCAGCCCTGGAGTTGCAGTCCCAGATCACCCCCAGTGCCTCCCTCCCTTCTTCTCCCCTGGTACCCCTTCCCCTTCCCCTTCCCAGGTACCCCCAGGGCAGTGTGGGAGTGGCCTCCCTTTCTGTGTGACCTTGGCTGGACACACATATTCGGGGACCCTCTGCAGTTCCTAACAGGTGGGAGCTTCTGCCCCCAGAGTGCGGAATTTCCCCGGGGGCAGGTGAGTTAATGAGTTGCAGGTGTGAGCGGAAGGCCCCACTTCTCCTGGCAGGAGCAGAGGGGGCAGGGTGGGAGCGCTGGGCAGCCAGAAGGACATTTCCACTTTCTCTCACATCACTCATCTGTGCCTTAATCAAAAGCCCTCAGGAGGGACAGTGACACGCTCAAGGTCACCAGCTGCGTGGAGGCTCAGCCAAGGCCATGTCCAAGGTCTCCTGACTGAGGCATGTTGCTCTCCCCTTCTGAGCTGCAGTGGCCTCACTGAAAACTCAAGATCCTGTGTCCACTACAGGAAGCCCCATCAAGGAGACACATGGGGGCCAGGTCTGCTACTCGGCGGCCCCTGGTGGCACCAGTGGGCTTCCTGGCCTGGCTGTCCAGCACCTTCACCCCACACAGACACCATCTTGTGCTGGTTGCTGGAGACCTAGATGTCAGGGACCCTTGGAGCTCAGCCCCTCCTGCACCTTCCCTGGGCTCCTCCCAGCTTCCGTTACCCAGGTAACGCCTTCCCTTGGAGGTTCCACCTGCAGTCGGCCCAGTACAGTCAGAAACCTCACCTGCTACTCCTCTGTTGCTAACTATGCTCATTTGGATGGTTCTCTCCCTAAGTGAAAAATCAAGCGATTCTGTCTCTCCCCTGCACAACCCTGGAGCGGTTCCTTTGACCTTTTAAAGAACGTCATATATCTTCACATGACCCGGGAAGTTTCCTGCCTCTACTTCCCTCTGGCCTCCCTCTGTCCTGCTCCTTAGAGTCTATCCTTCTACTCATAAATACCATCTAGAGTGTCCCCTGGTCTAGCCCCATGGACACAGCAGTGAACAAAACAAGGCTGCCACACTGCAGGAGCTTGGGTTCCCCTTGAGAAAGACAAGAGACAGATAAACTGATAATGGGTGTAGAGTGATAGATGGTATGAATACTATGGAGAAAAATAATCCGGGGAAGGAGGACAGGACACACTGGGGAGGGGCTTCTGTGATTTTAGGGTATGACCAGGAAGAGCTCACTGTAAAGGAGACATTTGGTGGAATACCTGGAGGGGGTCAGGGAAGGAGCCACATAGCTGTCTGGAGGAAGAGCTTTCTAGGCAGAAGGAAGGGCAGAGGGAAAGGCCCTGGGGTACCCGTGCATTCCCGGAACAGCAGGGAGCTGGGGGAGGTCAGAGGAGTGAGTGTTGAGCTCCGAGGGGTGATGAGCAGGGTACTGGGCACATTATCCAGGGCTTTGGGTCATCCTGGATTTTTTTTTTTTTTAACTCTGAGAGCCAAAGAGCTATTCCAAGGTTTTGATCAGAAGAGTGACCTAGTCTTTGGGTTAGAAAGAGACTTCATGGGTCGAGGATGGAAGCAGAGATCAGTTAGGGGGAGAGAAATGACAGAAGCCCAGCCCAGGATGATGAGCAGTGAGTGGGTGAGAAGTGGCTGGCTTCTCATATCCTGAAGGTAGGGCCAGCAGGATATGGGGGTGAGAGAAGAAGTGAGGGTGGTGGCTGGATATCCAGGTGGGTGGTCTGGTAACTCACAGGAAGGATGGAGTTGGTGTGGGAAGGCAGGTCTGGGAGGAGTAGGCAAGGTGGACCAACTGTGCATAGCATGTGGCCTTCTCTCCAGCCATGGGTCAATGGGCATCTGTCTCTGGGCCATTGCACATATTGGCTCCTTTCCTGGATGCTCCGCCTGCCCTGCCACAGGGATCCCTTCTGTGAATTTGTCCCTTTATCTGCTCCCATTCTCGTCTTATCTGGCTCTTTGTTTTATGCATGTGCTGACCTCATGCTTTTTACAGTCTTTGTCATACTGTGCAGTAGTAGGCAGGATTAAGCACCCCCAATACTGATCAGAGTGCCTTACACCTCAGTGTCC